TGAACTGCATTCCATCTTAGTCTGTCTCAAGGATACCGTTGAGCTGTGTTTTTTTACTAAATATTAGTTTGAATCATATGCACATATGGGGTAGTCTTGCACATGTGCGCTTGATATGGACAAGTAAGTTGGAAGCAAATCATAGGCATGCTAGATTTGATAGCTACTCTAAATGTCACTAGGATGGATTATTTTATGATCTCAAAGATAAAAGTTAATTGTTTTCACTCACTGTTTATCTATAGGAGAATCATATTATGAATCACATACCTAGTAGCATAATGTTAGAGAATTTGGTATGAGTACCAGATGTACCACATGTGAACACACTTATTATAGAGATTGAGAATAATATATGAATTCCCTATTGATGCGTTAGCATCATCTACTACACAGATTCTTGCATCGGTACATTGATGTAGTGGGAGGATTATCATCCAATTCGACAGAATCATGTTTTTAGATGAGACCATTATGGACATCCCTGTTAAACATGAGTTGGACCCAGTAAGCTACACGGAAGCATGAACCGATGTGGATACAGATCGTTTTGGTGAGTTACTATGAAATCAGAGTTGGAATCGATGTATTCTAATAAATTCTGGGATCTTGTAGAACTTTCTAGTAGGGTGATTCCTATGGAAGGCAAGTTAATCTACAAAAAGATACCAGAAGATTTCTTAGTGAATAAATCATGAGTGTACAAGGGAATGTCATTATTTTTCTAATTCTATATATATTGATGACATCCTACTCATTTAGAATGATGTGGAAGTTGTGTCATCAATAAAAAGGTAGTTGTTCAATTACTTTTAAATGAAGGATTCTTAAGATGTAAGCTATATTCCTAGGATCAAGCTTTTGCAAGATCAGGTTAAAAGGAAAATAGGCTTATCTTAATAATCCTACATTGATAAAGTTTTGACCAGGTTTGGTATGCATAACTCAAAGAATGAGTTCTTGCTTTATTGATATGGATGGCTCTCTCTAGTAAGTAGTTTTTCAAGACTATCAAAGGAGATTGAGCAAATGAGACTGGAACAATATGTTTCGGCATATGAGAGTCTCATATATGCCATGGTCTATACCAAACAGGACATCCGCTACATAGTAGGGATAGTCAGTAGAGATCAGTTCAATACTGGACTTGACAACTGGTCTATTGTGAAAAATATCATTAAGTACCTAAGGAGAACCAATGATATCATATTCATTTATGGATGTGATGATATGGTCCTAGTCAGGTATGCTAGTTCTGATTTTCAATCAGAAGTAGATACTATGAGGTTCATGACTCAGTGTATGTTCACTTAATGGAAGGGAGATCAGTTGGTAGATTGTTAAGCAGATTTCAACTGCTGACTCAAACCTGTAGGTGGAATATATTGCAGCCTTAAAGGCGGCAAAGGAAGCCTATTAGTTTGATCTCACTGATTTAGAGGTTGTGGAGTATATTAGCCTGCCTATTGAGCTATGTTGTGACAATAGTGCAGAAGTAGTCCAAACCAATGACCCAAGATTCCATAGAGGAAAAAGATACACTGAGAGGAAGTATCATGTTCTACATGATATTGTCCGGCAAGAAAATGTACTTGTAGTTAGAACATTGCATTGGAACACAACTTTGTTGATCCATTATCAAAGGTGTCATTGATCAATAATTTTGATCATCATCTGGATAACATTGGAGTTAGGTGCAATTTGAATTGGCTATGAGGGCAAGTGGGAGCTGTTGGGATTTATATGCCCTGGCATAGCAAATTCCTATCTGGATTATAGTGACATATGTTCCTGACATATCTGAAATATTTATGATTTATATAATTGGTGAATTCAATGTATTATGTTTCGATTCACTATGAAATTGATAGTGTCCATGTAATTACAAGAAATATTTATATATATGTATGTGATGACAATCAATGCATGATATATAAATAGTAATTATAAATTGTTCATAGTCGGTAATTATGGATGGACTCATAATTAATTAAGACTTGAACTGGATCTGCGTTAGGTTGAGATATATTGCGAGAGCCGTCGTATGCAATTACTCCCTATCACCGTCATGGCATTTGACTCTTAAGCATGAAAAAAGTATAGACTCTTTTATTAATTAATAATTACTTTGATTTGTTCGGCGGATTTTTCGGGATCCTTAGACCGACACTTTGGGTAGTTATGTAATTAATAGTTAGAGGGTTATTTTTTCAATATTTGCATCATTGCTACTTGTATTTATTTTGTATTGATTATGGTTGATCACAAAGTAAATTCGAAGGCCTTCGTGTGTTTTTAGACAAAATGATTTATTATATATTTATTTATTTAAATTATTATTTTTGTCAAACGAATGTTTTATTGTGATCGAGCCAGAAATAATCATAGGTACCAAAATAAATATATTAATTAAGTAGTCGGATTGATGGCTATATTTATCCGATAACTAATTATGCATAGAGGGGTCAAAGTGCAATATTGACTTAGAGGTTATTTATTATTTAATTGGAGTTCAATTAATTTCTTTTAGTGGAGTAGAAATTAATTTATGAATTAATTGAATTGGGTCCATGAACCGGGCCAATTATTAATTCATTGTAGCCAATAAAATAATAGGCCCAATGGATTCTCACTCATAGCCCAACTTGATATTGGAATCATATTAGATTTGAGACATATGAATTAGAGATGGAGAAGGATTTGTTGTTTCTTTTTCTTTATTTTTATGTTGCCTATAAATATACATGGTCTATGTATATTTTAGGTGGTGATTTTTATGAGAAGGAAAAAGGAATAAATTCTCTCTCTCTAGAAAATTAGGGTTTATGTTCTCATCTAATGGAGGCTCCCACAAGCCTAGTTTTCCAAGGTAATTCATGGAGGCTTATGAGTGATTCCTAAAGGCAAAATAATTACCAAGAAGATGGAGATCCAAGGAGAAGGCATCTTGCTAAGGGATCTACAATAAGTGAGAACATTCACTTTAGAGGAAAGTTTTAAAGGTTTACTCAGACCTTTGATGTAAGTATTCAATCTGTTAATTGAATGATACATCATATTTTATTTTTGCGTAAAACTTGTCTCTATGTAATGAATCAAGATCTATGAATTTAAATCCCTCGAAAAGTTTTTAAAACTTGCACGTTTCCCAACAGCAACGACACCAAGTTCGGTTAAAGGATAGGCGCACATAGGCGAAAATGATCCGACAGATGTTAAAAAATGTCTGCGACCACAAGGACGAAAAGCAGCGAAGTAGAAGTGAAATAAGGATAAAAGACAATCTAAAAGTTATAATGATTTCATTAGCAAATTCGATCATGCAACAGCCCTTTATCAAAGACACTGTAAAACTCTTGAAGCCTCTCAAATAACATAAGAGGCACACAAAGCAGATAAAGAAAAGACCAGACAACTTGAACTTCAAAGCAAACTAAGAAAGATTGAAAACAAACAAAAAGCTGAAGAGATGTTAATCATTGAAAAAGATCCAGAATCGATGCCAACACAAGTCAGGAAAACATGGCTAATTGAACACCAAAATGAAATATTAGCATCTTTACACGCACAAGGTAACTCAAGCTTTCCATAGGATTATCTCAAGCATTCCATATGATTGTTCTGTTTTTCCTAGTTGTTATGTTTTTAATTCATGTCGTATTGTATTATTTTTTTTTTTTTATTGTATTGTTTAAATTTATGTCGTATCGTATTATTTTTAATAATAAATATTGTATTATTTAAAATTTTTGTATGATATAGCCATTTTAAAAATATAGCCGTTAGGAAAAAGTTAAAAAATAAAATTTATTAAAAATTTAAAAAATATTAAAATTTAATATTTTTGGAGAGCAAAAATGCACCATTGGAGTACATTCGATAGCTAAAATTTGGAGATGCTCTCCGAATTCAGGCTCTCTGAAATTGCTACATCAGCATTTTTCAATAACCACGTCAGCATTTCCCATAGGCACGTCAGCGTTTTAGAGTCTCCAAATTTTAGCTATCGAATGTACTCTAATGATGCATTTTTGCTCTCCAAAAATATTAAAATTTTAATATTTTTTAAATTTTTAATAAATTTTATTTTTTAACTTTTCCCTAACGGCAATATTTTTAACCGCTATATCATACAAAAAATTTAAACAATACAGTATTTATTATGAATTATAAAAATAAAAAACAATACAATATAGCATGAATTTAAATATAAAAATAATAATACAATACCATTATTAAAATAAACTAGGAAAAACAGAACATTCATATGGAAAGCTTGAAATAATCCTATGGAAAGCTTGAGTTACTGCGTGAGCGTATAGATTCTAATATTTCATTTTGGCGTTCAATTAACCATGCTTTCCCGGCTTGTGTTGGCATCGATTCTGGACCTATTTGCATGATTAACATCTCTTCAGTTCTTTGTTTGTTTTCAATCTCTTTTAGTTTGCTTTGAAGCTCCAATTATCTGGTCTTTTCTTTATCTTCTTTGCGTGCCTCTCGTGCTCTTTGAGCAGCTTCAAGACTTTCAGATTTAGATTAATGAAGGGTTGTTACATGATTGAATTTGCTAATGAATTCATTCTGAATTTGGTTAGAACATTTATCCTAATTTTGACTTTGCTTTGCTGCTTTTCGTCTTTATGGTCGTTGAAATTATTCAACATTCGTCGGATCATTTTCGCCTATATGCGCCGATCGTTCAACCGAACTTGGTGTTATTGCTGCATTATTTGATGGAGTAGATGGGTTTGAGTAACCAGTAGGATCACTATCATCAATGTGGATTCCACTCCTCTTCTTCGGGTTTTTTTTTTTTTTTTTTTTTTTTTTTTTTTTTTTTTAATGCCGATTCTTTTTGACAATGTAAATGCCATTTATTGTTGCTCTTCAAAATGTTCTAACAACTGTCATACTTAAATTTGGTGTTATTTTGAGGAGCGAACAACTCTTTGGTTGCTATCATCTAAAAAATTCAAAATCTATAATTATTAGAAAACAAATCTTTAAAATATCTACCATTTTTTTTTTTTCATAATTGGAGATGTATTGAGCTCAAAAAATCAACATGAATACAGGAGCACAGAGGGCATACCCCCAGAAAAAGAAAATAAAAACAATACTAAAAATAAGGCCTAATGAAAAGCCCATTTCCAGTACAAAAATAAAAAATGAAATTCAGTTCTAAGCAATAACATCATTAAGAGAAACCTTCTGAACATCACAAACTTCCATGACGGTAGATCTAGCCACTACCTCCAGAAGGAAACTATTAGAACCATGGAGTCTATTATTCCTTTCTCTCCAAATAAACCATACCCCAGCAGCAAAAAGACTTTGGAGTCTTTTGGAATTCTGAATATTCAACCAAGTGAAGAGATCCCACACTAAGGTAAGATCCTCCAACTGCTACAGCTCCCACCCTAAGACACCCCCTAACCACTTCCAAACCCCCTGTGAAAATGGACAAGAGACAAAGACATGGTCAGTAGTATCAATATTCTGTTTACAAAGTGTGCAGCTTGCTGCTAGAAACACTTTCCTTCTCTGCAAATTCGACATAGAAGGCAACCTATCAAGTAAACAACTTACCTTGTACTCATTGTCTTGCCCACTGGGGTAATTCCTTTTGATCTGGGGCATGCATCCAGAAAATTTGGTAATCATTTGTTGCATGAAGTACCAACGATTCAAGTAGGCCTTAGGATTTCTTTTAGGTGTACCAGTACCACTAACGTGTTGCTCAAAACTTTCATAAATTCAGCTCCATAACGTTGTTTTTTGTTGGTCTGAACCGATGACCGCATCAGTGCTAATGGCCATCCACGCATAACATAAAGCCTTATCTTCAACTGTGGACCAATTAGAAGGCTGAATAACCCTTTGCTTTCTTAGAGGTTGGGAGTTACTGGATTGTAGCACTTCAGTAGGAATGTTGGAAATTTGAGAAGGTTGATGAGACAAAAATTGAGATTCTTCTTCAACAAATTGTAAGAAGGGATCAAAATTATCATTTGATTGGTTAAATTGGGCGTTGTATTTATAATATGGTGGTCAGGGGTCCATGGAATTGAACTTTAGTAAAAAAATATAACTAAAAGATTGAGAAAATAACTTAGTGGTTGTATTTGTAGGTTGAATACTAGAGAAGATGGGTTGGATATGAAGTGAATAATAGTAGGGGTTGATGTATTTATAGAGGAAAAATGAAAAAAAAAATTATTTATTTATATTTTATATATATATATATATATATATATATATATATATATATATAGTTAAAAAAAAAAATTTTAAAAAATTTGCTTTTGTGCCAATATAGCCGTTAAGGCACTGCTTGGGTAAGCTAAACAGTGCCTAAAATGGCTATAATGTCAATAGGAATATTTAAAAAAGTAAGGTTTTGTTTTAAAAAATCTTTTCTCCATTTTTTTAACTTTTTTGCCCAAAAAAGCATTTAAGACACTGTTTGTCAGCCAAACTGTGCGTTAATGGCTCTTTGGTTCAATTGTTTTGAAGGAAAAAAAAGAGAGACCAAAATAACCCAAAAAACTGTTTTTTAGCTTTTATTTCAGCCAAACATGGCCTTACAAACAGCGTTATGGGCTAAAACAATGTTCTGAGCCAGAAATAAAAAAAAAAAAAAAAAAAAAAAAAAAAAAAAGAAAGGCGGGCTCGTATGGCAAGCCTACGGCTCGCTAAGAGGGTCGTCGTTTTCCGTGATTTGAATGACGTGGCCTAAATTTGGCGACCCACAATGGAGCAAATTGGGTCACCAAAATGGGCCTAAATCACCGGATTAGGTTGCGCTGAAGTTGCTCCAATGCTACGATATCCACGCAACATATATATATATATATATATATATATATATATATATCAATCCCATTCAGTTGCTCCCTGGTGTGCAAGAAGCATAATCTCAGTACACAACAGGCTTCATAATAGATTTCAATGGACAGATCAATGAATGTATAATATAGCTTTAGTATTCACCTTTTCTCTGATTTCACAACCTTAATTAACTTAATAGACACTAGTTAATCAACACACTAACCACAGTAATATAAATAAATCTCAGCTCACAAGAGGTTCACAGTTCAAGTACTTAAACTGAAGCTTCAAATTCTATCTTGTAGAATTCTGCAAATGCTAGGTTCAGTAGGTCAAAGTGTAATGCAGCATCAACTTAGGCACACTGTAGCTTTCAGCAACATTTTCTCAGCATATAGAACTTTCTCAGACCAGTAATACTCAATATATAGCCAAATAACACTTAATTTCAGTTCAAGGAGTTCTTCAAGACAAAACTCTGTTATGATTCTGTTCTCAGGGACAAGACTGTAATTTCACAGCTAAATATACCAGGTCATGATGCTAACAGTCTTATATAATCAAATTACAAATGCCCAGAAGCAGAACTCAGCAATCAATTAAGTATATTGCAGTTTCAGCTCTCACAGCAGGTTATTTTCTGCAGAAACACAAATATCTCTGGTCTTGAAGGACAAAACTGGAATTTCAGCTTATAGTAATTCGAACCTCAGATCCTCAGCTTGATTTCAATGTAATAAATATGTTCAATGCATAATCTCAGTAGAAACAACATGTTATATCACTCTTAGAGATTTAAATCAGCTCAACCCTCCAAAACCCTAACTTAAGTAGTGTTTAAGAACAACAAAACTGCAGAGAAGGTTTCTCATTTCAAATCTCAATTTAAACAGCTTTAACTAGTTATTTCAATCATGCTCAAAAGCTGTAAACACATTTCTCAGAATTATATCCATATTCATACTTCATATCAGAGGCTATTTTACACCAGAAAATTAAATGAAGCAGTTTTGAGATACAGAAACTTACTGCAGTGATGTTAGGTGCTTGTGGTCACCTAGAATAGTTGTAACACATCAAAATACATTTGCTCAAGCACATCTCCAACTCTTAGAGTACTCACAACAAGTTTGAACTTCCTTAAACACCAATTTGCACCTGGAAATCAGCAACAAACAGGCCTCCTTTTCATCTTCAAGTTGTATACCCTCACAGGTGTTATTCTGAGGTATTTTCAGCTCCCTTAATTTAACCCATACTTAGTAAACCTCCATGATATTGATTTTCTAGAGTGTCTCTCGAAGACTTCTTGAAATGCAGCCTCTCTAGTGTTTTTGTAAAGTTCAGCACAATGAGGCTTGAAGCAGGTTGCTGCTATAACATTGTATTTATAGTCTTTAACTTGTAACCCTAGTAAGGATAAGGCTGAATAATTGTGTACCAATCAGATTATAGAGTATTTTTTGTAAATTTTTTAGGTTTGTGGACCACTTTTCCATGATAGAACTTACACATTGGCCTTGTACACACACACACCTACACACATTGATGCACACCAGCTGTAGAGAGAGAAGATAAGCTTTCTGGCCAAGAATTTGAATATCACGTCCACCAATGCTCACAGAAGGACCACTGAGCACGTGTAAGCCTTAAGAAGGACACAATGTAGTGTATATATATGTGTACTGAATTGCCAAAACTGCCCTTGAGAACTCTACATATCACTCACTGTTTTGCAGCCACTGTTAAGTCCTTAGAAATGTTTATCTAAGCTCTAATACACAATGCACCATCTCAAGCAAGTATAGGTTGACCATTTACATGTGTAGAATGACACAAATACCCCTTGTAGTTGCCAAACAGCCCCTAGAAGATAGCACTTCAAACAACGTCTTCTTTTGACATTAAAAGAGCAAACAATAGAACCAATGTTAAAACAATAGTACAATCATCACTACAATGTTAGAATACCTTTTCTCACGGATTGGAGGACCTCAGCTCAATCCTATCCATTTGTTTTAGGGCTGCATCATCAAAGGGTTTGAGTATAAAAGCAATGCTACAGCTGCTGCTAGGTTTAGGGGCCTAAAAATACATTTCTAAAGCTGTGAGTGAGGCTGCTCTTGAGTGAAATGTGAAGAGATATTAAGTGTTTTTGAGTGTTAATTCATCTATGTAAGCTCATTTTAATATCAGAAATTATCATGATTAAGCTGAACGTGTGAGGATCTGCAACACTGATGCTGCAATTGAAATGAAGCTGTTGTCAAGGCTGATTTAAGGTTCAAGTTTGGTTCAAGAGGCTTAAGGTGCTTAGTGAAGGTTGAAGCAAATCTAATACACCTATTCACAGCTGCTGGTATTAGGTATAAGCTCAAATACACACCTCTTCAGAATTTGGTACCTTAGAGCTTGATTGTTGAGTATTTTGAGATGAAATAGCTGCTATGGTGCACTTCCTTGATTTAATATGCTATAAGCCTAGTGTTTAACATCTGAGCATGAGTAACTTGATGATTTGATGCTGTTAAAATTGAATCAATCTCAGAAAATTGGTTGGCTCAAGTTTTGACCCTAAGAACCACACTATACTAAGGCTTCAACCTTGTTTTGCTGAGAGTTGAGTACTGAAAATGAGATATCTTGTTTCTATCACTGTGATCTTCATTTGAACATGAATATAAAGCTTAAACAAGAGTGTGAGAAGCTGAACAAGCTCTGAGCTAATTCAAAATTCCAGATTTGCCCTTGAAATTGAGGTGCTATTGTTTTCAGCCAAATATAGTCTGTTATATGTTGTTTCCTCCTGAATTGAGTATTGAACTGTTGTAACTTGCTTGGTTCTTGAATCTAATATGTTGAGCAAGTATTAATTAAAGTCTGGGAGTAAATATTGCTGAGGTTTGAACTGAACAGAGGAGCTACATTGTCTAAGTATTGGTGCTGCTGCCAACTGAATTTAAGTCTGCAGAAATTGGTTTATAACAGTTTTTAAGGCTGAATTAAATAATCTTATTGATGTGCTTTGTCTCTGAGTTTGTGTAAGAAGATAAACCAAGTATAGGAGAATATTTTCCAGGCTTGAGACCTTACAGAATACCATTTATACCCTTGATACAGGGACATCAAAGTGGCACCAAAACAGATCCTGTGTTGAGCCTATTTGTTACTGGTGTATACTGAAATGTCTCAATCTTGCTGAGTTTATTGAAGACCATGTTTGTGCAAGTGTATTATGATTAAATGAAGCTGTGAGAACCTGTATTTGATTAAGGCTCAGGTGTTTTGACAGAATTACCCTTGAGAGCTTGAAAACTATGATTTATTGTTCTCCAAGCCTTTTGTGAACTGAAATTGTTATTCCTTGCTCTATTCAATGCTGTAACCTGTTGAGCAAGGTTATTTTGTAATATCAAGGCTGTGGATATAGAAGAACTGTCAGTGTTGAAGCTACAGGGTGATTTGACAGATTTACCCTTGTTTAGGGTTTTAAAGCCTTATGTGCTGAAATTGTTGCATACTTGCTGTCCATTCTCCAAGGTTGATTTCAGCAAGTTAGTTGAGCTTATTCAAGGCTGTGAGAACCTAGTGTGAGCTACAAGTGAAGCTGCATTGTGATTTTGACAGATTTATCCATCTTGTTTCATGTGTTGTGCTTCTTCAAGCTGTGTGTTCATTCCAATCTTGTGTTGCATTTGAAGTAAAGTGTCCTTGGTGTGTTAACACCTTATTCTCTTGTTGACAGAGCTGTGAGAGCTCAATGAGTCCAAGCAGGGTTGCTTAGGACAGGGGGAGTGCTTGTGTGCACATTGTTGAAGCTTGTGTGTGTGTAAAGGGAGTGAAAGTCAGTGCCCTAGCTAGTACAAGGTGTGTGGAAAGTGTGGCAGCTGAGTGAGTAACTATTACATACAACAAGTGAAGATGAAGAGCTAGTGTGTGTGTAGTGGGTGTGAAAGTCAGTGTTCTTACTTGTACAAAGAGTGTACTGAGAGTGAGACAGTTGAGTTTGTAACAACTTACATCACCTAGTAGAGCTTTTATTAGCAGGAGCCAAGAACTAAGGTTTTTCCCTATTAAGAGGGTTTCCTTGTAAATCTTGTGTTGTGTTGTGCTTTGGTTATTTGTCTTCTCTAGAATGTGTTTTGATTCTAAAAGTTAACTTGAAAAAGGAAGAAACTACCTTGGACCAATTCAACCCCCCCTTCTTGGTCCAACAATTGGTATCAGAGCCCTTGGTCTACTATCTTGAGGTTTAATATACCTGCAGCAAAGATCCGGTCAATGGAAGAAGGGTTTGATCCTAGTATTGCTCCTGTTTTAGATAATTCAAACTATGGGCATTGGAAGTTTGGAATGGAGGCTTATTTGATGTCTCTATCTTATGATGTTTGGGATACAGCTATCTAATGGTATAAAATTTCAAAGTACAGAAGATTTTTTCAGTAATGATCTCAGGGCAAGACAAGTGTTGATAAGTGGACTCACTCAACTTGAATTTTCAATAGTCAAGAATTGTAAATCATCTAAGGATATATGGGATACTCTTGAGAAAGTTTATGATTCTACAGATAATCTTGAAGAACCAGAAACAACCAAGTGTGCAAGAAATGATATGGACACTCAATTTACCAAAACTTTAGTTCAAAGGGATGAGGTTGAAGAAGATGTTTGTATGGAAGTGTTCAAGTCTGTTCTTTCAAATATGGTTTCATTCTCCCTTTATAGTGTTCAACTTAGTGAAGTGCAGATCAAAGAAAATCTTGAAGAAGAAATGTCAAGAAGATGGAAGTCTTCCACTACCTTTGACCTATGAAAGTAATCTTGAACTAAAATCTGATGAAGAGGTTGATTATAATTCATTCTCTTATTTTTCACATGAAAGATCATTGAAGCTACAAAAAGGTTGTGTTATGAAGAAGTTAAGCAAACTTTGGTCTCTGAAATGCAAAGTCAAGAAATCCTACACTAAGATCAAAATGTTAAAGCCATCCTTAAAGCTTTTCTCAATGAATATGCTTTCTTGTATAACTCCCAGGATCTGTGACAATTGTGTACATCATTTGAAGATGAGGTTAGAAAATCAAAATCAACACATTGGTGAAGAAAGCTTAAGGCTGTCAAAATCTGAAGGTTCACTCTCAAGGAAGTTATATTCTCAGTTCTTTATCCATTCAAGGACTCACAAGTTTGCAATTCACAAAAGAGTTTCACAGCTTAGTCTTCAAAAGTTTTTCAAAACTGATAGTATTTTCAGAGACAATGTCTTTCGGGATCATTACTCTATCATTCATAATTGCCAACTTCAAAGCTCCTCAAGACCACCTCCTCTCAGAGACAAGGCCTTTTATGATTACTATTTTATTTTTGGTTGTCAACTTTAGACCTCTACAAGGCCACCCCCTCTCAGAGACAAGTTGCCTCATGTCCTTTAAGTATCTCTTGCTGCTACCTACCAATTCTGATGCATGCTGTAAAGGGTTAAATACCCTTGAAATAAGTTTTGGTGTTCCTATATGGTCAAGTCATATGTAATTCATCTATTGATATCTACAGCAATCATTCCTTGATCTGGTTCTAGCTGAAGGTACTCTCATTTGCTTAAAACCTACCATTTTCACTATTATCTATTTTTTTATCTGAAAATTGGACTTATTCTTGTATGATCATATTGCACTGTGTTCTCCCAACATGTAAGCATCAATGTATCACTGATAAAAAGCAACAGTGAGTGATAAGTCTTCAAAAAGTTGATTGCAACCTATTATGTCCCTTGAATCAAAACACCTAGAATTTGCTGCAAAAGTGATATTGATAACTATTTTTGAAGCTCTCTCTATTATCTTTTTAATGGTGTCTCTTGAAAAATCATATGTACCTGGGTATTCAACTATTATTTGCTTCGGAGATTTTTGTCCAAGTCAGCACTGGTGTAAAATCTCAGATTTACCCTCTGAATAGTTTTTCAACAATCTATTATCTAAAGCCTGCTGGAAGCTATTAGTTGTTGTTCCTGGCCTTACTTTTTGAAGTCATTTCATGAACAAGTATAAATGGATCTGTTTTAGAGATATATGAACTAGTGTGCATCCAAATCTTCTTCTGTGGCATTGTGAGTTGTCATCTGAGCCATGTCAATGTACCTTCCTGACTTGAAGCTGAATTGGACTTGTATAATGGTGTTCTCATCTTGTAATTTAAGCTGTGGCAAAGTAACTTCCTATCTTAACACCTGAATTCAAGCTGTTTGTTGATGAAGTCAGCTCTAATAATGTTCTTCAATTGACAAGGATATACTCAATAAGCTATTTGTCACAGTGCCCATTGCTGATCTATTGACCCTTTTGACTTTCAATGTCAAAAAGGGGGAGAATATCAAGG